TATTTAAAACTAGGTAAATGCGTAATCCAAATGAGAATTTTATGTGATCGTTCCAAGATTGTCTAATACATTTCATTATAATAATCTAGGTAAACGACCGTGTAGGTTTTGACCTTTAATGGGCTTCAAGGTTTATTAGGTCTTTAATGAGAGAACCCAATTAACCAATATTAAAATTGGCTATCCCATTTCAAATGTTTCAAAACAACTTAACTAATTGTAAGTCATCATTCAGTGTGTATTATTGGACAGGAAGACCTATGCATTCTGTCGATTCTGGAAAGCCTCCACTTCTTTTATAAGGAATTCAAGAATAAGAAATCATGGCACAAACAGGTTTGTCTATAACCTTTAATTATTAATTCTATATTCAATAATCTATGCGTTGATCTTTTGATAAATTATTGATTATAATTGGATCCTATTCTTATTGATTGATTAAAATATTGATAGAATTCATGTATAATTTTCTTACAATGAAGTTGTTGATGCTTGATTTTGACATCAATGACGTGTAAAGCGCTACGAAGTTACACTTGAGCTAATTAAACTTTGTGGGTGAGGTATTGTTTGTGCAATGGCATGCAAAGATGTAAAAATAGAGTTGACAAGGGAATTTTTATAGTAGTTCAAATGCTTAAAGCAAATCATACATCCACTGTGTTCTTTTATATAAATTTGTTCCTAGTCGTTAGACAAGATTACAAGAGGTCACGAACTGCAATTCAGTCTCTTTCTAGTAGTGTGTCTTTGCTATTTTTTTTTATTGAATTCGTTTAGGGTTATAACGCAAATGTTGGTTGAATAATTGTTTATTTAATGTAAATGTTACATTATACCCTAAAGTTTAATTAATGTTTATTGATGGACAATTTATTGAATATAATTGATATAATTGATATATATATATATATATATATATTAACATAATGCATATTTATTATGTTTGATAACATGTGATGCCATATTGAAGCATGTAATATGCTTGTATGTTTTATGCATATTAATTATGCCATTGTTTATAGTTAAGTTTTAATATTTATATGAAGTGTTGAAACTTAATTTTATGGCATGACATTTAGTTTTAGGTATGTAGTTTGAGGTTTATGTTTTATATTTAGTTGATACATATGGTGGATATGTATAGGATAGATATTAAAACATTAACTCAGAACAAAACCTAATCTTTAAATCTTCCCTAATTAAAATATTAAGTCTAAGCCTTCCATTATGAGTCAATTAATTCTTTTCCATAGAATTAGAGATTCTATTATGTGAGGGATGCTAATTTATAACATAGAATTGATTGTCTTAGTTCTTGGATAGAAATTCACATTGTACCCAAGATTTCTATTATATGAGGGTATAATGAGAATTCTATTTTAAGAAAGCATAATAGGTCGGATTTAACTAGTCTAGGGTACCAAGATTTTTATTATGTGAGGTATCTGAAACTAGAGGCAAGGAAATGAATCATAGCTTATATGGTGATATAAAAGGAAACAGTTTCCTACTTATTGAATTTAATGGACCGAGATTTCTATTATATGAGGTTTATTAAATTTGATAAGAATTTGATTCCTTACTAGAAATTTTAATCCAGCAAAATTTCTGAATCTTTATCCAAGGAAGTATAGGATTTGAATAAAATAGTGGGAGCTAATTAGATTAGCTTAATAAAAGATATATGTAACAAAACACTCATAATTTTTTTTTTTTTTTTTCTTTTTTTTTGTAAATTTTCTTCCAGTATCTCTCATAAAATATAAAACCGTGAAAGATTAATGATCTACTGTTAAAAATCCTAGATGATAATAAGAAGTTAGTTGGCCGTAGTAATTTCAATAATTGGTTGAGGAAACTGACAATAATATTGAATTCAAAAAACGCAGCCTATGTTTTGGACACACTCCTACCTGAATCTCTTCCTTCTGATGCTCCTTCTGATGAGCATAACGAATATAAAAAATGGAAGGAGGATGAACTTAAAGCTCGCTCCAGAGAAAGTGTGAAAAGATGAAAAGTGCTAATAAAATTTACCTCACGTTACAAGAGTTGTACCGTGAAAATTTGAGGATGAGGCAATATGAATTAAGTTCAACTTTATTCGGAATGAAGTTGAAAAAGGGTGTGTCACCAGAAGAACATGTCATGAAAATGATTAACATTCTAGGGCAATTACATGCCATGAAAATTGAAATGTCGGACAGCCTCAAGGTGGATTTAGTTCTCCAATCTCTACGTTCAAGTTTCACACTTTTCATCAATAATTATCATCTCAATAGAATTGAGAGAAAACTTCCTGATTTGTTGAATGAGATTCAACAATTTTATGATCAAGAAAGAAAAGGTAAAAGGCAGGAGGTTGTAAGTATGGCTTCTTCCAGTAAGACTAAGAAGAAAAGGCCAATGAAATCCCAAAAGAAATTGGGAACAAAACCCAAGGGAAAAGGGTTTAAGAAAAAGGTTGCACCTCAAGCCAATAAATCTAAAGAAAATGGCCAATGCTTTTGGTGTAAAGAAAGCGGGCACTGGAAGAGGAATTGTCCTCTCTATCTAGAAAGTCTTAAGAAGGCTAAAGCTCTTCTCATTGAGAAGACCGGATCAGGTATGTCCCAATGCTATGTCATTGAATTTTAATTAAATGTTAGTTCAAATAATTCAACCTGGATATTGGATTCAGCTACTACTTCACATATTTGTGTTTGTTTGCAGGATCTGCAGAATAGTTCTGCTCTAGCAAAAGATCAAGTCATGTTAAGAATGGCGAATGGAACAAATGTTGCTACCGAAGCCATGGGAACATGCATTTTGATGCTTTCATCAGGAAACCTTTTGTATTTGTACAATGTCCTATATTTTGGTAAAGCCACTAGAAATATAATTTTTGTTTCTGTATTATGTAAATATGGTTACAGTGTATAGTTTAATAGAAATGACTTTCTAGTTTATTTTGGAAATAAACTTGTTGGCAAAGCTATCAATACAAATGGTTTGTATGTGCTAGAATTAAATGGTCATAGTATAATGAATTCCATAACTAATAAATGAACTTGAAATGAAATTAATCTTAAATTAGTTTGGCATCATAGATTAGGTCATACAGGAGACATAAGAATAATCCAGTTATGAGAAAGTGGACTTTTAAGTTCATTTGGTTCAGAACCCTATCCGACATGTGAATCTTGTCTTCAAGGAAAAATGACCAAGTCACCCTTTAAAAGTAAAGGGGAAAGGGCCAAAGAATTGTTGGAATTAATATATACAGATGTATGTGGACCGTTTAATGAAATGGAGGTTTCCACTACTTCATTACCTTTACTGATGATTATTCAAGGTATGGGTATTTGTATTTAATGAAATACAAATCAGAATCTTTTGAAAAGTTCAAAGAATTCAAGAATGAAGTGGAGAAACAAACTGAAAAGAGTATTAAAATTCTACGATCAAATCGTGGAAGTGAATACTTAAGTACAGAATTTCAAGATTTTCTAAAAGAAAATGGGATTATATCACAATTAACTCCTCCATTTACACCACAACACAATGGTGTATCTAGAAGGAGATATTGTACTTTATTGGATATGGAACGATCGATGATGACTTTTACGGACTTGTCGATTTACTTGTGGAGGTATGCCCTACAAATAGCAGTGCATATTTTAAATAGAGCACCATCTAAATCGGTCCAAAAGATACCATATGAAGTGTGGTATGGCAAACCACCTAGTCTTAACTATTTAAAGGTCTGGGGTTGTCCAGCTTATATCAAGACTATTAAAACAGACAAGTTAGACGTAAGATCTTAAAAAAATTGATTTATAGGGTATCCTAAAGAAAGTTTAGGATATTATTTTTACTTCCTTACTGATCAAAGAGTTTTGATCAGTAGAAACACACATTTCTTTGAGAAAGAATTCTTAGAAGAAAGAGGTGCAGGAAGAAAAATTGAACTCAAAGAATATTCCGAAGAGTCTCAAATCGATAATACTGACATAGTTGAACCAGATCAAGAACCTTTAATGCATGACACAACGATTCCAGCTCATAAATCTTCTAGAATATCTCTACCTCTAAAGAGATATTATGGCTTTCTACATGAAAAAGTTTTTGAATCTTTTTCAGTGGGAGAAGTTGATCATGGAGATGATCCTAAAACTTATGAAGAAGCAATATTAGATATCGATTCTGAAAGATGGCTAGAAGTGATGAATTTTGAAATAGAATCCATGCACGCTAATCAAGTTTGGACACTTGTTGATCCTCCAAAAGAAATAGTTTCTATTGGTTGTAAATGGGTCTTCAAAAGAAAGGTTGGCGCAGATGGAAAAGTAAAGACCTATAAGGCTAGACTTGTAGCGAAAGGTTATACTCAAAAACAAGGGTTGGATTATGAGGAAACTTTTTCACCAGTTGCAATGCTTAAATCCATCAAAATCATGCTAGCCATAACAGCACACTATGATTATGAAATTTGACAGATGGATGTCAAGACCGCGCTCCTCAATAGATTTATTGCGGAAAACATATATATGCAACAACCTGAAGGTTTTGTATCCAATACTGAGAGACATAAAGTGTGCAAATTACATAGATCCATTTATGGATTGAAGCAAGCTTCTAGAAGCTAGAATATCCGATTTGATAAAACGATCAAAACTTTTGGTTTCATAAAGAATCCGGATGAACCGTGTGTATACAAGTGGGTAAAAGATCATGTCACGATTTTCCTCATATTATATGTAGATGACATATTATTAGTGGGAAATGATATTGGCATGATGATTGAAGTTAAGATGTGGTTGTCAAAAACTTTATCAATGAAAGATTTGGGAGAAGCAAATTACATCCTAGGAATTCGCATCTATAGAAATAGAGCGAAATGATTGATAGGGTTATCTCAAAGCATGTATATAGAGAAAATGTTGAAAAAGTTCAACATGTAAGACTCCAAAAGAGGTTTTTTGCCTTGCGGTCATGGACTACATCTTTCTAAGGATATGAGTCCTAAGATTGATCAGGAGCAACAACGGATGCGTAATATACCCTACGCTTCAACCGTGGGTAGTCTTATGTACGCAATGCTATGTACAAGGCCTGATATAACTTATGCTGTAAGTATTACGAGCAAATATCAATCAAAGCCAGGAGAGAAACATTGGTCTGCAGTTAAAACAATCTTTAAGTACTTGAGAATGACTAAAGATTTAATACTGAGTTATAGAGGTTCTGAATTGAAAATCCAGGGATACTCAGAATCTGATTTTCAATCAGATGTGGATGATAGAAAGTCTACATCCGGATTCATCTTTACATGCAATGGAGGAGCAATTAGTTGGAAAAGTTCCAAACAATCGACCACTACCGACTCCACTACAGAAGCTGAATATATTGTCACTTCAGAAGCAGCAAAAGAAGGTGTATGGATACGCAAATTTGTAGTTGAACTTGACATGGTTCCAAACATGAGTTATCTGATAACCTTGTTCTGTGACAATAATGGTGTTATTGCACAGGCAAAAGAACCAAGAGCACACCAAAAATCAAAACATATTTAGTGTAAATATCATATTTTAAGAGAGCTTGTTGAAGCAGGAGAAATTTTAGTGCAGAAAACACCTTCAGCAGATAACGTAGCTGACCCACTTACTAAAGCAATGACACAGAAGCAATTAGATCATCATCTTGAGAAGATGGGTATTAGATACCACAACGATTGGCTCTAGTGCAAGTAGGAGTTTTGTTAGTGTATGCCCTAGGAACCAATCGTGTCATCGGTTCCGAGGCATTATGTTTTGTATATATATGTGAATGTATATAGTTTGTATATACATTTTATCTTATCAATAGAAGAAAGTGTTCTTATTTCACATGTGGTTTATTGCTTCATTTATATATATGTATTACATGTGAAATGTCCGGATGATACAAATCTTTAGAAGATCAAAATCATCAAAGTATTCCTTACATAGGTAATATTAATTAGGCAATAATATTATATAGTAGGCATGTTGAATGCCTCCGCAGAATATCATGTGATGATATTAGTGTGGGTGATTATAAAAGTTATATCACTAGGGCATTAACATGGCTGCGCGGTTAGTGAACTGTTTATCGAATATAGTCATTTATGATGAATCATATGGACATTTAAAATATAGTCAATGATTTATCATAAAATCATACTAGTGTATTATTAATCCTTAAACCTGAGATATAATGGTTGGATTCTGCATAAACGCATATGGTTCATGTGGTGAATAAACACGAGACTAATTATGTCATGTGTTAATAAGCCAATTTGGCCATGTGTTGTTTATGTGTGAGGACAAGTGATAGTCAAGATGTGATCCATTGACTTGGTATAGATTGATATCAAGTTCCTAGACAAATGTTAAGATATATTGGAAAAGAGAAATCTCTGGCCGGGGTATATAAAATGTTACTTGAAATGTTGTTTCATTGTGACACGTTCCATATGTATTGATTGTCAATTTGATATAAAATTAAGATAAGGATTTTGACATACCATGAATCCATTCTTAATTGAGATTAGACAATGGAAGGATTTGATTATACAGAGTGTATGATTATAAAAGGGTTTGTTGGAGTATATCTTCATTGTGACTTAGGGGTTATGAAGCATTGCTAGATGTCTACTATAATCGGTGGGAGTTTTGTTCATAAAGATTTATGACAAAACATATCGAAGTAGACTATGATATTGGGCCCATGGCTAGGCTACAGTGAACCTAAGAAGTCACACATAAAAACTAAGGAGAATTGAGAAATAGCTAAAAATAGTTGATTATCCAAGGTTGGCTAGCACCTACCAAGGGTAATAAAGTTATTTACATTATTATCATTGAATTAGATTCAATGGAAGGTTTTATTAGTTATTATAAATAATTTAAGAGTTAAATTGTTAATTGGAATTCAATGGAATTCCAATTCATAATTAATCGTTTTCTTTATATTAAATTAGATTTAATAATGGGTTATAATTGTAAACATATGAACAATTTAATGGTTAAATTGTTATGTAAACAATTTAAAAGTTAAATTGTTAACTGTGATTAAATATTAATCCAATATTATTATTTAAAGAAGTTTAATAACTTAATAATAATTATGGAATTATTTACAACTCCAAAAACAATTATGGAATTGTTTAAGGAAGTCCAAAACAATTATTGAATTGTTTACAAGGCTACATATATAAAGAAAATGATATATCAATTTTAGGGTAGAGATCAAAATTTCTAAGAACCCTAAATGTCTCTCTTGGCCTAATTCTTTTTTTGCCTTAGTATGGATACTCTTTTGTTTAATTTCTCTTAAAATTAAAAGTCTCTAAAGTTACTAAAGACTTGAGATAACAAGTTATAGCTTATTTGTTTTTAATTTAATTAATTTTTTTATAAAATATAAATATACGTGTTATAGTATCACATGTATCACCTTCCATATATTTCATCTTTCGCATTCAATCAGCAAACTGTTGATTGATACGGCATTAACGAGGACCGAGAGTTTAGTTGCATGTGAAAAATGTGGTTATAGATATTTTGGCTACATTCAATTATGCTTTAATTGCCAGATAATATATAACAGGTGAGGTAACCACACAAATATATGCGATCTTGATTGTTTCAAATGTCATTTCAATTTTAAAGATAATTTATTATTTATTCGTTACTCTTGAATAAAACAACAACAAAAAACCCAACAATAATGTAGTATCGTTTTCAGTACTTAAATGCTACGAGATTCATAATCATTGAACTCTAAGAGACAAAATTAAAATTAGGACGTCCTAATCAGAGAATTAACGATATATATGTATATATACACGATAATTCTTTAGTCAAGATGTCCTACAAAATAAATGTAAGGATCATCATGATCATACTTATATACTATTAGATTCATGTGCAAATTAAAACATCGTTTCAATCTAATGAGATAAATTGAATGATTATTCTACATCAGGTAGACATGGTTTGTGACTTGGATTTACAAGGGTGGGCAGGCAAATAGGCAATATCACCCACTAGAAAAGTATTTTGATCACCTTAATAACGCGATCCTACCAAATTAACTTCATAGAATAATGCTACACATACAACATTCTCATATAACATTATGTGATAAAAGATGATTCAATGAAAGTTTAATTTTATTTTAAAATCAATCAATCATATTTTGCCACATAATATTATCAGTAATACTATATTTACCGACCCAAATACCGATTTTTATATACCGACTCACTATCCAACAACCCAAATCTCAAAATTTAACTCAGAGTCAGTATGTCAAATCGGTCGCTGGGTCGGTAAGCCTAGCATTACTGTAATATTATATGAGAAATGTTGTATGTATAATATTACTCAACTTCATATATCATTTTTTTTTTTTTTTGGTTTACATATATATGTATTTTGATTAAATATCTTATTAAAAAAATAATAATAAAAATATAAAGATAAATACAAAATTGACTTCAATGAACACAAGATACAAATCTGTATGAAAACCATGCATCTATTCTTTTTACCGTACGAGGTTGGAATACGCCGAATCTAGAGTATATAAAAAGGCTACAAAGCTTCTTAATTTGAGCATAAACTCACCATTTGATCAAATATCATCCACGGATTCTGAATCCAAATGTCCACTTCATCAAGTTCCATCTCCAGCAACTCATCAACAATTACTCACTCTAAGGCTAATTCGACAAAGAAAAAATCAAATAGCGCCAAACAAACAAGTACAGTAATTGAAAATGATGAGATCATTAACTGTGTTAATGAAACAAGGTGCAGCAGTAGCCTGAGCCTCAAATATCCGACATATCGGGGCGTGAGAATGCGAAGCTGGGGCAAATGGGTGTCTGAAATACGTGAGCCCGGGAAGAAATCAAGAATTTGGCTTGGAAGTTTCCCTACTGCAGAAATGGCAGCTCGAGCCCATGATGTTGCCTCTCTGGCTATAAAGGGTCACTTGGCTCACCTGAATTTTCCCGAACTAGCTCACCGGCTTCCCCGGCCGGCTAGTGTTGCGCCTAAAGATATTCAGGCTGCAGCTGCTGAAGCTGCCGCTGCCACGTTTGAGTCTAGCCAGAATGAGATGGCGCCTCGTAAAAATGAAGAGTCGTCGTCGTTCCAGTGTTTATCAGAAGACGAGAGTGATAATGCATTGTTTGATCTTCCGGATCTCTGTGTTGAAGCAAGTGGTAACAGTAGCTATGAGTTTTGTCGCGATTCATGGGAGGAAGTAGAGGGTGAATTTGATATGGGATTATTTGAGTTTGAAGAAGGATTATGCAGCTGGGATTATCTGTTGGGTAAATATTAATGTAGAGGGTTTTAAACTTTCAGTTTAATAAATATACATGGTTTTATTTTTGCTATATTATTCATCAATTTTACATACAATCTGATCGCACACTAAATGAAGATGCAATTTTGACAAATTGGATTTGATCGATTTCTACGTTTCGTGGTAAACCTAACTGGTTACTTCCAATTACAATAGAGGTTACTTTGATTTGAGCCATATAATTTTTTATCCTTTTTCCAAACAAAGTAAAATTAACTAAATAAGCCAAAGAGATATATAAGATTATAAGTATAGTAGTTTTGGAAACTCTGATCAATTTTGGTAAAGAATTGGGAACACAATCCGACATTTTCAGTCACTCCTTTCTGCTATTTTTTGTTCTTCTTGTTTCTTTCTATCATGGTCGAATGCCCATTTTTTTTTTTTTTTTTTTTTTTTTAAGGTTTGTTATAAGTAAACTTAATTCAACCATACAATCTAAAAGTAACATTTAGATCATTCTGGTTAATTGTGGTTCAAAAAAAGTTTTTAGTTTAACCTCAAGAGATTGGTTTGGCAGTCAAGAAAGTTTGCTCCCTTTATTGACTTCCTAGGTTTAAACTATTTTGGGGTCACCTACCGCATTTGTGATTTATCTTGGAACATTAGGTTTATAGAGTGTTCAATGAGCCCTAAGGAGGCAAGGATTAGTTGAGATATGTACAAATTAGTCCGGACCACTTGGTCATAAAAATACAAAAATTAATTATAAAAGTAACATTAGTGTAGGCTAGTGGATCAAATGGTGGTGACCAATTGAATATTCGTCGTCAGAATTTGTCAAAAATTAACTAAGAAAAAGAAACTCTAGCTTTGCGGTAAACTGTAATCAGCGAGAAATCAGGTATCAGAATGAGAGAAGTTTTGTAGAGAGGAAACCGAAGGTTCAAACGGTGATGACGGAGAGAATTTTTGCCACTGGAATCGGCTTTGGGTAGTAACAGAATATTAACTTTGGGTGGAAAAGTGATATTTTGAAACTTTTTGGGTGGGAAAGGGTCATTAAGCCAAACCTTGGGTGGGATTATGTCGGTTACTCTATATATAAAATACAAATGCAACTAGTATTTTCTTATTCATGTAGAAGCTCAGACAAAAATTATAAATATAAAATTTTATTAATAAGTTATTCGGTAATTTGTGCAATTATCTTCAAAACATCTTTAACTCTAAATAAGGACAGCTCAAATATAAAAAAAATTAAGAACTATATCGAAAGAGTTGCCAAACCACCACCAATGGTGGTCGCTAGAAACTTTGGTCAGTGGCATGTCCAGTGACACCACCAACATCAAAATAATCGGTAAAAGCTGATCTATGTGATACAGGTGATTCCATCAACTTTCGGCATTGTGATAGGCCACATTTTGATGCCAGTAATGTTGCCAAATGTGCCATCAACGACAGGCGCTGGCGGGCACTATCGGTGGTGTTCTAGCAACTATTTCATACTCTTCGTTCTTAATTTTTAATTTTATAAAATAATTGTTTAATCAATAGTAATTTAATAAATTATCAATATAAATTCAAATAACATTTGCATTTATTGTTCAAGGAATCAAGGGTATTTTTGATATTGTATATGTACATAATTAGTTTAAGAAATAATATATGATTATGAAAAGCTACTAGGTACTTTTTATGATTCTTTTATAAATCTGATTATTTTATAATCAATTTCAAACTTAATCAGTTTTAAAGGATTAATTCCATAAAAAGTGGGTAAAGGATTAATTCTTGGGGTAGGGGATCCAATGAAATTATTTTTCTGACACTATTTTGAATTAAAATTTTCTATTTTTTCTTTTAAAGATTTTTTATTTCAACTGCTATTATTTTATAATTTAGTGATTATTAAAATGGGTATTTGTAAATGTTGATATTTGTTGAATAGTTGACTGAAGTGGACCGGTGGTTGACCGACGTTGATCAATGGTAATTGACTATAGTTGTCAGCTACTCGGCTGTTACATTTTGACTTTTAGTTAGAATATCTTCTTTTAAGTAAAAAAATAATAATAGCTTTTTTCACTAAAAAAATAATATTTTAATGTTGAGGGTATTTTTGTCATTTATCACATATATAGTTCCATTCCCTCATCATTCAATTTTATAAGTAAATAATTGAATCATTATTTACTCCATCCTTGATTCACTATTCGAAAATTTATATCATTTTCCATTTCTCTTTCATTTTCAATACAATTCCGACAAGTAAACATGATCTAAAATCATAGAATAAGCCAAGAGATAAGTTTGTCTGTATGTCATTCTATGTACTCGGACACATTTTTTTCACTATTAAAATGTTTACTGAACATTTTAATTATATATTAAATACAGTATAACATTTTTACAGTGATATTCTATATAGGAATAAACTTTACATAGTTATAAAAAATTATATTTTTATTTTGGGATAGTTATAAATAAAAATAAACTCCTCATTGTAATAAGTCATAATTTTTCTAATTCTTGTTTTAAGGAAAGTTGCCTCCACATAGTAATAATTATCTATATATTGTAAAAAAATACATATTATGTTACATTAAAGGTTTAAGATGAAATAAAATATTAATTTATCTAAAGCTGTTTGGAGCAATGATTTATGCTTTAGAGTTGATATCACATCTTTTAACTTACGGGTACATTACTCACTAGCATAAACATCTTCTTGTTGAAGCCAAAATATTTCTAACATCTCAAGTATGTTTAGAGTTTTTTGGCACGGAATTTTTTGTATCTCTATACTATCATACTTATGGGGTATGTTTGGCTTATTATTGGGTGCGTTTGGTTTATTATTTTGGATAGGATTTTGGGGATAGTATTGAATAATTGAATATGGGAGTATTACGAGGTAAAATTTAAAAATTTATAAAAAAACCCCATAAGTTTGCTAATTTAATAAATACCCCAACATGTAAAATGACAAAAATACCCCCACCATCTGTAGTTCCAGATTCCGGCCACACCGCCGGAATTTGGCCGGAAAATCGCGTTACGACACAAACCGGTCGGATCTGTGTCGTAACGCGTCGTTATGGCCTTTTTCGGCTTTATCCACCACAGATCTGACCGGAAAAGTCAGATCTAAGGCCTGCCGTGGCCATCGACGGCCGAAAAAGGCCAAACGACGGCCAAAGATATGGCCGTCGTTTTCGATCAACGATGGCCAAGATTTGGCCGTTGTTGACCTCAACGACGGCCAGATCTGGCCTTTTCCGGCCAGATCCGTGGTGGATCTGGTCGAAAAAGGCCAGATTGGTGAACTTCTGGCCATTTATGGTCGTCAGGTAGGCCGTTGTACAGATTCCGGCTACCACCGACGGTGGTTGCCGGAATCTAGCAAGTATGGGTCGCGAGGGTGTTTTTGATAATTTTTATACCTTTTTTTAGGGTGTATTTGATGAAATTAATAACCTATGGGGTCTAAAAATAATTAAAAAAATAGGGTAATATTTCTGGAATAATGTGCCAAACATTATTTGGAGAATAGGATTGGGAATAGGGATAAAAATAATAAGCCAAACATGTTGGGTGCGTTTGGTTTATTATTTTGGATAGGATTTTGGGGATAGTATTGGATAATTGAATATGGGAGTATTACGAGGTAAAATTTAAAAATTTATAAAATAACCCCCTAAGTTTGCTAATTTAATGAATACCTCAACATGTAAAATGACAAAAATACCCCCACCACCTACAGTGCCAGATTCCGGCCATCTGGACGAAAAATCGCGTTACAACATAGATCGGTCGGATCTATGTCGTAATGCGTTGTTATGACCTTTTCCGGCCAGATCCACCACGGATATGACTGGAAAAAGCCAGATCTAAGGCCTGACTTGGCCGTCGATGGCCGAAAAAGGCCAAAACGACAGTCATCTTTGTCCGTCAGCGACGGCCAAAGATATGGCCATCGTTTTCAATCAACGATGGCCAAGATTTGGCCGTCGTTGACCTCAACGACGGCCATTTCTTTGGCCATTGTTCACGGCCAGATCGGTAAACTTTCGGCAATTTATGGTCGTTAGGTAGGCTGTTGTACAGATTCCGGCTTTTACCGATGGTGGTTGCCGGAATCTGGTAAGTATGGGTCACAGGGGTGTTTTTGATAATTTTTAAACTTTTTTTCAGGGTGTTTGATGAAATTAATAACCTTATGGAGTCTAAAAGTAATTAAAAAAATAGGGTAATATTTCTGGAATAATGTGCCAAACATTATTTAGAGAATAGGATTGGGAATAAGGATAAAAACAATAAGCCAAACATGGCCGTTATTATCCATATTCTCAATCTTATTCTCTAAATAATGTTTGGCACATTATTCCAGAAATATTACCCTATTTTTAATTACTTTTAGACCCCAAAAGGTTATTAATTTCATTAAATACACCCTAAAAAGTTTAAAAATTAACAAAAATACCCCCGTACCCATACTTGCCAGATTCCGACAACCACCGTCGGTGGTAGCCGAAATTTGCCACAACGGTGAATTACCGACCGAAACTAGACGGTAATTCACCGATCTGGCCGTCAGTGACGGCCAAAGAAATGGACGTCGTTGACCGAAAATGACGGCCATAACTTTGGTTGTCGCTGACGGCCAAAGATGGCCGTTGTTTTGGCCTTTTTCGACAGTCGACAGCCATGGCAGGCCGTAGATTTGGCCTTTTCCGGCCAAATCCGTGGTGGATCTGGCCGGAAATGGCCATAACGAGCGTTACAACACAAATCCGACCGGTATGTGTCGTAATGCGATTTTCCAGTCAGATTCCGGCGATGGTGGCCGGAATCTGGCACTGCAGCTAGTGGGGATATTTTTGTCATTTTACATGTTGGGGTATTTATTAAATTAGCAAACTTACGAGGTTTTTTTATAAATTTTTAAATTTTACCTCGTAATACTCCCATATTCAATTATCCAATACTATACCCAAAATCCTATCCAAAATAATAAACCAAACGCACCCAT